GTGTGGAAAATAAAATTTGATTTCCATGCATTTCCATGGTAATTTTCACAGACATGCATACCGAACACAAAAATTACTCCAAGGCTAGCTTATAAATGCCACTAATAATATTAATAATGGCAGCAAATTAAATAGAGGATCTGTAACTGTGGCTGTTTAGGATATCTAGGTGAGAGGACCACACTAAACCAGCTAAGCATTTTGTCCTGGAAAAGTGCCACTTTTTGAAGGGGTGGGTGGCATGACTAATTGGGTTACCACTATGCGCTGAAACCCCATCAGGAAACTAACAGGCTTATGTGTTACTTTGTTAGGAGGAGAGGAAGGAACAGACGGCCCACATGCTTTTGTCACGTAGTTTATTGCAAAATAAACTCCAGTTAGAGAGCAGCAGTATCTCCCTGATTGCATTTCAAAAATGAAACAATGTATACAGGGGGACTTCATGTATATAAAATCCTCTGAATAAATAACCATCTTAGAATTCCTTTCCCCTTCATGTTCCCTGTGAGTCTGCAGACTTTTGCTAGTTTTTAGTTGTGGCATTCAGTGTGAAATCATCCCCCATGATATCAGCAACCGCAAGAGACTCGTGAATGAAGTCCACAGGGGTCTCCAGGGTGGGAGAGGGTGGGGTAGAGAGCCTAGAGCGTTTGACCTGCCCGCCGCCCCTGTAGCTCCTCAACTCCTTCATCCACTCTTCTCTGATGGAGGGGTCCTTACGGTCCAGATGCTTAGCTTGTATGAACGGGGAGAGGGCGATAGAGTTCTGCAGCACGTGAAAAATGTACCTGAGGGAGAGAGTGTGGTGGTGAGAAAGTAGGCCAGTGAAAAATATGCAGCCCTTTGATGTAAATCAGAGCGTTCTCTCTAAATATCAGCACTTTCAGACGCATCAGCAACCGAGAAGAAGAAGACCAAGCTGTGGTGCAGTCCTTCTTGACCTTCACGTTTAACAATATTTAACTACAATTCTGCAGGTAGGGTTTACACACCGTAAGAGCCTCATAATTGCATAGCAGTTAATGATGTACACAAGTCAAAGCGTGCTCTAGATCAATATAAGTAATTAAAATAGGAGACCCGCTAGCTTTAAATATGTGTGCAAATGTAGACTAAAATAGTGATTTCTATTTTTGTTGTTTTTTCTGTTGCCGCTCATCTAAGGTTATCTATGGCCTTTTGTGCAGAGATGTTCTATTATTTTTTTAAAGATTTTAAGTGGCTAAGAAAAGGGTAGCATTAGAGAAAAGTAGCATTGTCTGCTCCCTTTAAAAACCGCAGGATGATTCAGATTTGTTGTTGAGAACCATTGGGCTAGAAAATCCAACACAAATAGACATGTATTAGGAAATAGATATAAACATGATAGGAAAACTGCTCAAATGGGTTTTTTGAAAATCGATTAAGAAGTGAGTTATATTGTGAACATGAATTCAGCATTGAATGAGTCATTCTTTAACTAAAAATAGAGAATATTTGCTGCTTTTTCTCTTTATTCCATTTTGAGTCACCGTACCGTCGACTGTGCTGAACGAAAAATACATTTATTAAAAGAAATTATTATTAGTTTCAGAACATTTTTATTTTCCTCTGGTTGTCATATGACAAAAAAATGGAGAACGTTAGAGTTTAATATCCTTAGTGTTAATTAACACCTGTGCAGCTAATTGTTTCTTTTCTATAATAATAGATCTGTAAGTATATGTACATCCTTTCACATTTGGTGACTCCTTAAAGTAGAAATGAAGGGAAATACAGAGCAAAACCCACCTTATGCTGCTCATATTTTAAAATTAGACTATGTGATTGTTAAACATTGACACTGAAAAGACTTACCAACGCTAGAAAGTGCTCACAAATACACCCCAAAACTCTGGACAATTAAAAATCTTCAACCCCACTGAGTTTAAAGAGTGACAGACACGGTACCTGGGCAGGAGAGCCACCACAGTGGAGAGGATGCAGATAAGGTAGAACATGGGGTCCTCCATCTGGCTCTGGAGGATCCAGTATGGGTTAGAGGGAGGGTTGCAGGTTACACAGACGGCGCTGTAGGCGAGTGTCACGATGAAGTACAATGCCACACTGCCCAGCATGATTATCCAGTGAACCACCGTCTGCGGCACAAATGACAAAAAACAGCAATTACATGTGGTGGAAACAATCCAGTTAGCAACAAATACCCGTTAATTCTCTGTTTTCTGCTGCAAGAGAAATATTCACAGCAATAAGATTTTTTTCATGCACCCCGCCCTCTTCATCAGTTTTTTTTTTTTTTGCATTACTTTGTTTCCATGCTTTAAAAAAAATTATTACCTTCTGTTGAACTTGCATATAAATTAAATACCTCACTTAACATTTTGGAAAATATGCATATGTATAAAAAGTTAGGAATAAGTTTAGTGGTTTGTTAGTAAATAAAATTTAGTCTTTCTAAAAAGAGATAAAAAGAGATTCTAAAAAGAGAATATTTGTATTTTGAATATTTGGAGTAAAAGCTGTGGATTAAAAATGAATACTGAAAAAATGATGTAGATCCTTATTCCTTAGTTTTACTTTATTCTGCCTATATTCA